TGCAAGTCTGCTGTGGTTCGAGGTCAAGACTATCTGAGCTCATATGTATGATGCTGTTTGATTGCTGAAGTTCGCTAATGCTCATCTTCCTTGCAATTTGGTATCGGAGCTGTGGTACGATTGCGCTCATCTGGCGGTTGTCTTCTGCCTTATATGGTACATACATGCGGTCTGCTGGGAGAGTTTGGCCGTAAGTGGTGTGTAGTGAGGAGGGTGGAGACGAGTGTGAAGGCAACCCAGGTGGTGAGGGGCATTGCCTGGAAGGCTAAGGTGTAAATATTGGGTGTTCGCAGTGTGATGAGAACTATCTGTTGGGTGATTGAGGCTGAGGTGGAACGGCGAAATGCTGGTTGTGCCGATGCTGTGACTGGTCATCGCAATCATCTTCAGGTCATCTGGTGAGATTATCTCTGTTGGGGGCAGCATGAACGAGGTACGTTGCTCTTAACCTTATCTACCCTCTTCATCACTTCTTACCGTGAGGTTGTGAGTTCTGTCTTGAGAGTCCTCTCATCGTGAGGTGTCGTGTGCGCTCAACCTTGAGAGTCGTGATTGTTCACGAGGAGCATCTGGGGGAAGACGGGCGGAGCGTCTTGAATGGCCCTGGACGAAGCACTGGGTCACGGTCACCATGCCAACCCACTGGGTGTAGTACACGCATGCTTCGCTGCAAGTCGTTGGTTCTGCTGCTTGCGCATGATAGGGGTTAACTCGAGTGTGGCACCCTCTACAGACGCATACCAGACCGTCTGTAAACATTTGTGGCTGGGGACTCGGCTCTGATCTGGCTGTGATCGTCGTCCTGCTGCGACGTAAAATAATTCCTGATGTCACTTGGGGGCGGACGTTAAATTGCCTCTTGATCAGCCAGATCATCCGAGTGGAAGGCTCGTCGGCGTACGAGGGTAAAAAAGAGTGTTGTGGCTGCCTTGCTCAACGATAACCTGGGGCACAGGGGTGGGACCGGATTGCACACCTTTGAGACACGCTTGACACGCTTGGCTTCTGATGCAAAGAAACGTGACACCGTGACTTTGAGAAGAACAAAGGGAGGGGTAGG